CAGAGATCTTTTGCAGCAAATTTGCCCAATGCAATACGTTGTTTGGATTCTTGTCTGCTGCTTCCATGTGCGTTGATTGTGGATTCAACTAAAATTAAATCCTTGACAACTTCAGTCTTATCTCTCCTTTTCATGATGTTGCTTATTGGTCCAGTTGTGAGGATTTCTGTTTTCTTTATGTTGAGGTGTAGTCCATACTGAAGGCATGAATACTGAATCCATTCATCAGTAAGTGCTTCAAGTCCTCTTCACTTTCAACAAGCAAGGTTGTGTCCTCAGCATATCAGAGGTTGTTAATGAGTCTTCCTCCAATCCTGATGCTGCATTCTTCTTCATATAGTCCAGCTTCTTGGATTTTTTGCTCAGCATATAAACTGAATAAGTATAGTGAAAGGATACAACTCTGATGCACATCTTTCCTGATTTTAATCCATGAGGTATCCCCTTGTTCTTTCTAATGACTGTCTCTCAGTCTATGTATAGGTTCACAGTATTATCCATAACCTGTTATGATCCACACAGTTGAATGCCTTTGCATAGTCAATAAAACATAGGTAAACATCCTTCTAGTATTCTCTGCTTTCAGTCAAGATCCATCTGACATCAACAATGATATCCCTCATTCCACATCCTCTTCTGAATCTGGCTTGAATTTCTGGCAGTTCCCCGTCGACAGTGCTGTAACCATTTCTGAATTATCTTCAGCAAAATTTTGCTTGCGTGTGATATTAATGATACTGTTCAATAAGTTCCACATTCTGTTGGATCACCTTTCTTTGGAATGGGCACAAATATGGATCTCTTCCAGGTGACTGGACAGGTAGCCATCTTCCAACGTTTTTAGCATACACGTTTGTCGAAAAATCTCAGTATTCTGTTAATTCCAGAAGCCTTGTTTTTCACAAATGCCATCAGTGCAGCTTGAACTTCTTCCTTCAATTCCATTGGTTCTTGATCATATGCTACCTCCTGAAATGGCTGAACATCAACCAATTCTTTTTGGTACAGTGACACTGTGTATTCCTTCCATCTCCTTCTGATGCTTCCTGAGTTGTTCATTATTTTGCCCACAGAATCCTTCAACACTGCAACCCAAGGCTTGAGTCTTTTTTTTACTTCTTTCAGCTTGAGATATTCCAAGTGTTTTCTTCCCTTTTGGTTTTCTAACTCCAGGTCTTTGCACATTTCATCATAATACTTTACTTTTTCTATGCAAGTCTTCCTTTGAAATCTTTTGTCCAGCCCTTTTATTTCACATTGCTTCCATTTGCTTTAGCTACCTTATGTTCAAGAGCACGTTTCAGAGTCTCTTCTGACAATATAGTTTGGTCCTTTTTTTTTTCCTTTGTCTTTTTAATGACCTTTTGCCTTCTTCATGTATGATGTCCTCCGTATCATCCCACAACTCATCTGGGTCTTTTGTCATTAGTGTTCAGTGCATCAAATTTACTCGAGATGGTCTCTAAATTCAGGTGAGAGTAACCCAAGGTCGTACTTTGGCTCCTATGGACTTGTTTTAATTTTCTTCAGCTTTGACTTGAACTTGCATACGAGCAAATGATAGTCTGTTCTGGACTCGGCCCGTGGCCTTGTTCTGACTGATGATACTGAGCTTCTCCATAATTTCCTTCCTCAACTGTAGTCAATTTGATTCCTCTGTATTCCATCTGGCAAGGTCCACGTGTATAGTAGCTATTTATGTCGTTGACAAAAGTATCTCCAATGAATAAGTCGTTGTTCTTGCAAAATTCTATCATGTTACCTCCTGCCTAGTTTCTATCATGAAGGCCATTATTTTTCAACTACCTATCCTTCTTCTTCGTTTCCAACTTTTGCATTCCAATCACTAGTAATTATCAACGCATCTTAATTGCGTGTTTGATCCATTTCAGAAGCTGGTAAAAATCTTCAACTTCTTCATCTTTCACCTTAGTGTTTGGAGCATAAATCCTGAATAATACATTAACTGGTTTTCCTTGGCATATGGATATTATCCTATCACTGACAGTGTTGTACTTCAGGACAGATATTGAAATGTTCTTTTTGACCATGAATGCAACGCCTTTCCTCTTCAACTGTCATTTCTGGCATAGGAGACCATATGATCGTCTGATTCAAAATGGCCAATGCCAGTAAATCTCACCTCACTAATTCCTAGGATATCGATGTTTATGCATTCCATTTTTGACAACTTCCAATCTTCCTAGTTGGTATTTCATACATTCCATGTTCAAATTACTATGGATGTTTGCAGCTGTTTCTTCCCATTTTTAAGTTGTGCCACATCAGCAAATGAAGATCCCAAAAGCTTTACTTCATCCATGTCATTAAGGTCAACTCTACTTTGAAGAGGCAGTTCTTCCCCAGTCGTATTTTGAGTGCCTTCCAACCTGAGGGGTTCACCTTTCAGCACTGTTTATCAGACAACGTTCCGCTGCTATTCATAAGGTTTTCACTGGCCAATTTTTTTTTTTTTTTAAGAAGTAGATCACCAAGTCCTTCTTCCTAGTCTGTCTTAGTTTGGAAGCTCCACTGAAACCTGTCCACGAGTGACCCTGCTGGTATTGAAAATACCGGTGGCATGGCTACCAGCATCACAGCACCATGCAAGCCACCATATTACAACAAACTGACAGATGAGTGGTGGCTGGGGTGTATATATTCCTATATTTATGTATTTGTTCATTTAATTTTTCATTCTTTTATATACTTTCCTTTTTTTTTTTCCTATAATGAGCAACTGCTACCTTTATAGTTAGAAAAAATGAATAAATAAAGTGGAGTGATCATACTATGCTTAACTTAAAGCATACAAAACAGAAAACTAATTTGCTGTTAAGCATACAGGTTTAAAATATTTTTCTAGTTAAGTAAAGCAATCTCATCATTTCTGTGGGAAAAATCAAATCATTGGGAAGAAAGTATATTTACTGGCATTAATTTTAGATGCACTTATAAACTGAAGTATAAGAAAAATATCAATAAAATATATTTCATTATGAATTTTTATACTTACATTATTTACTAAGATGCAGGCACTTAATTAATTACAAATGAAGCAACCCACAACCTCCACCTCTCGCAGCATTTGCCAACAAGAATTTAATAAACAGTAGGTGAACATGTAATCTCCAATCAGCAAGATTTCATTGACTTCATTTTCTAATATTCTTGGAATTATTGGAGGTAACTGAGTTTAGATGTTTTATTACATATACATATATACAGAGTGCATCTGGGGCTAGAATATCATCTTATGTTCTCACTGAGTTAGAGCCTTCATAGAATATGTGTATTTGCTTCCAACACCCGTGTCTGCTACATCTCTGGCAGTTCCAAGAAAGTTCCTAGTAATTCAACTGGACCATTTTCTAGTGGGAACTCTTCACACTTTTGTTTTTTCTTATGCAATGCCTATTCCAACTGTACCCACCCCCTTTATGAAGCATCCATGACTTACAAAGCCCATAACAGCCTCTCCTCCAATCGCATATAAAACTAACAAGTTAGCATCATGTCATTTAGTGCATAATGTTCTCTATGATATCATATATATTAATTTTGTTTTCTAAAGTAAACTGAGTAAGCTGGAAATGCCTGGGGGTGTGACATCCAACTTATCCCTCTTTTACATTCATATATTGACTAGTGCTGAACCCACAGTGGGAGTTCAGTGGCTAGTAGATGAAAGAGTGAAGAAGCACTAAGACTTTCAATTGCAAATGAGGATCTTATCAGATAAAATTAATCAGCCAACAAATTAAGATTTTTTAGTGTATTCACTATATATCCAATACAGTTCAGTGTTGTGGGAAAATCAGAGAATACAAGAGAAGATTTTACTCTCAAAAACCTAAAAATCTTTTTTGAGAGCCATGTTAAAATTAAAAATCAGTATAGGAGAGTACATAATTAAATGTATAGAAAATAAACTGTAGGAAGAAGAGTGTGACTCAGCCTTCATTAAGGCTGAAGTCAGATAAGTTTTAATATGGACCCTGAAACATGGACCCTTAGGATAAAGATTCTGAAAAAATCAAGCATAGGAGAGAACAGCATAAAAAACTCAAAAAGACAGAAAAAAATTAAGACAAGTTTTGAGAGTAAGCATTAGGAATTACTGAAAAGTATTTTAGTTTGGTAAAATTCTGTAGAACCTTAACGCTAGCAGAAGAACACAGAACCAATTTAGTAGGAAAGAGGAAACAATGTCAGTTTTTGAGTAGAACAGTGATCTGTTGAAAACAGTTTAAATTAATTAGGCTGTAGTGAACAAAATACACAGGAATAGGCAATCTTATAAAGAGTAGAGAAATGGAAACTGGGAGACTTGATTTTATGTTGGTTTGACTGGGAATGACACATCAATTAATAATCCAGTGTACCTATATGTCCAGTGTGCCTACACCCGGAGTAATCCATTTTTCTAGTATTAAAATCCATTGATACTAATTCTGAGTTCATATCGGGAGATCAGGTAGCAGGCTCTTTCAGTTGTCCAGTTATGAGATGAGACTAGGATAATGGTGAAGAATAGCTGAATGAGAAAAAGCTCAAAAGAACAATTATCAGGACTTAGCGGCAGAGTAGGTACGAGAAATAGGAAAATTGGAGGAACCAATAATTCTTTTATAACGTCAAACTGGATAGCTGGGATAAAAAATGATACCCCAGAAGAAGAGAGGTAAATTTTAAGGGTGTGCTTGTTATGCTATGCTATCCCTTTCTTAGAGTGCAGGGAGAACTTTCTCTCCTTGTTGCTCTATGTAAAAACTCAGAGTTTAGGTAAGTCTCATAGAAGCTGTGGTTACCAGCAAAGAATTGGAAAGGATCCTGATGTCTGGTACTTAATATACATATTAAGTATGGTACATATATCTGGCTGCATCATATTTATTGATTGTTTCTTATTCACCGATAGCTTTTGTATTGAGAATCTCAAAACCACTATTTACCATATCTTTATTCATGAGCAAATTTCCAAATTCAATAAAACTCACTTTACACTAGGGAGGAGGGTGGCAGCTGGAGGAGGAGGAGAGAGCCGGGGAGGAACATCATATTCTTCATCTCCCAGGTGACCATTGGAAAAAACCTGAAATTAAATTAAACGGTTAGTTTTGAAGAATTTAACTTCTGGAAGACATCAAAACAACAGCAGCTCTTGGAAAACCTACAATTTTGAAGAGCATATATAATTTCAGCTTATTTGAACAAGTGAAACGTCATATAAATTCTTTAGGAGTTAGTAGTACCATAGTGAGTTGAAATGGACTGGTATTGGCCATTTTGAATCAAACAACCATATGGTCTACTATGCCGGGAATGACAAATTGTAAAGGAACAACATCACATTCATCACCAAAAGGAACATTTCAAGACCTATCCTGAAATACAACGCTGTCAGTGATAGGAAAATATCCATACGCCTAATAAGGAAGACCAGTTAATCTGAGTATCACTGAATTTTGTGAAATAAAGTAATGCAAAAGATGAAGAAATTTAAGATTTTACCAACTTCTGCAGGGTGAAATTGATCAAACATTCAATAAAAATGCATTTATAATTACTAGTGATTGGAATGCAAAAGTTAGAAACAAAGAAGGATCAGTAGTTGGAAAATACAGCCTTGGTGATAGAAACTAGGCAGGAGGTTGCATGATAGAATTTTGCAAGACCACCGACTTATTCACTGGAAATACATTTTTTCAATGACATAAAAGGCAACAATACATGTGGAACTCGCCGGATGGAATACACAGAAATCAAATTGACTACATTTGTGAAAAGAGATGATGGAGAGACTCAATATCACCAGTCAAAACAAGGCCAAGAGCTGACTGCGGAACAGATCATCAGTTGCTCATATCCAAGTTCAAGCTGAAGATGAAGAAAATTAAAACAAGTTCATGAGAGTCAAAATATGACCTGAGTTAATTCCACCTGAATTTACAGACCATCTCAAGAACAGATTTGATGCATTGAACAGTAATGATCAATGACCAGATTGAGTTGTGGGATGGGACATAAAGGACATAATACATGAAGAAATCAAAAGGTCATTAAAATGCAGAAAAGAAAAAAAAAGGACCAAAATGCATGTAAGAAGAGACTCTGAAACCTGCTGTTAAGTGCAGCAAATTGAAGTGGATTCTATGGGCAAACAACTGAATTACACAGGAAGCATCAAAAGAAGATGGAAAGAATAAACAGAGTCACCATACCAAAAAGAACTGGTTGATGTTCAACCATTTCAGGAGGCAGGATATGATCAAGACCCCATGGTATTGAAGGAAGAAGTCCAAGCTGCACTGAAGGCATTGGTGAAAAACAAGGCTCCAGAAACTGATGGAATATCAATTGAGATATTTCAACAAACAAATGCAGCACTAGAGATGCTCACTTGTCTATGCCAAGAAATTTGGAAGACAGCTACCTGGCCAATCAACTGCTGGAAGAGATCCTATTCCAAAGAAAGACGATCCAACAGAATGTGGAAATTATTGAACAATATCACTGCTATCACATGCAGGTAAAACTATGATGAAGATAATTAAAAAATGGTTGCCGCAGTACATCAACAGGGAACTGTCAGAAATTTAAGCCAAAATTCAAGCCTGAAATTCAGAAGAGCACCTAGAACGAGGGATATCACTGCTGATGTGAGATGGATCTTGGCTGAAAGAAGGGAATACCAGAAAGATGTTTAGCTGTGATTTGTTGACTATGCAAAGGCATTTGACTGTGTGGATCATAACAAATTGTGGATGACATTTTGAAGAACGGGAATTCCAAAACACTTAATTGTGCTCATGCAGAACCTGTACAAAGACCAAGAGGCAGATGTTGGAAAAGAACGAGGGGATACTGCGTGGTTTAAAATCAGGAAAGATTTGCATCAGGGATATATCATTTCACGATACTTATTCAATCTGTATGCTGAGAAAATAATCAAAGAGGCTGGACTATATGAAGAAAAACACTGCATCAGGATTGGAGGAAGACTCAGTAACAACCTGTGATATGCAGATGACACAACCCTGTTTGTCGAAAGTGAAGAGGACCTGAAGCACTTACCAATAAAGATCAAAGACTACAGCCTTCTATATGTATTACACCTCAACATAAAGAAACCATAAATCCTCACAACTGGACCAATAAGGAACATCATGATAAACGAAGAAGATACTGAAGTTGTTATGGATTTCATTTTACTTGGATCCACAGTCAACGCCTATAGAAGCAGCAAGAAACCAAACGACATACTGCACTGGGCAAATCTGCTAAAAAAGAACTCTTTAAAGTGTTAAAAAGTAAGGATGTCACCTGAGGAACAAGGTGCACCTGGATCAAGCCATGGTATTTTTCAATCACCTCATATGCATGCATAAGCTGGACAATGAGTAAGGAAGACCGAAGAAGAATTGATGCCTTTGAATTACGGTGTTGGCAAAGAACACTGAAAATACCATGGACTGCTAGAAGGATGAAGAAACCTGTCTTGGAAGGAGTACAGCTGGAATGCTCCTTTGAAGCAAGGATGCCAAGACTTTGTCTCATGCACTTTGGACATGTTATCAGGAGGGGCCAGTCAATGGAGAAGGACAACACACTTGGTAAAGTAGAGGGTCAGCAAATAAGAGGAAGACCCTCAGCAAATAAGAGGAAGACCCTCAATGAGATGGAATGACACAGTGGCTGCAAGGATGGCCTCAAACATAACGATTGTGAGGATGGCTCAGGACCAGGCAGTGTTTCGTTGTTGTACATAGGGTCACTACGAGTCGGAACCAACTTGACAGCACCTAACAACAACAATACCATAGTGATTATTCACCACCCCCTACAGTGGAACCATGTTATATGTAAAAAAAAATATGGTACAGCATGATCCCTAAACACAGAGGTACTACTATAATTTATATAAATCAAATATAGATAGCTAAAATTCCCAAGTAAGTTCTCATTGAAATATTAAGCATTCTCTGTAAGGATTTGGTAAAGAAAAACAGCACTGGAGTAATTCTTACTCCAATTTCTTCTAAATAAAAGCACAGTAAATTATCTCTCTCCAGAGTTAAAAGAAAAGTCTTAATCTTATCAATAAAACTGAGTACATGACTATAATCAGAAATGCCTATGTTCTTTCAAGGTTGAAATCTTCGGCACTAATAGTAACTACAGACTTGTTCTGGCTTTCAAAGTGAAGGCAGCTTTAAATATAATTCTCAGTTTGTGACCAAAAGAAAGGAAAACAGTTGAGTTGCTCATTAAGTACCCACAGAGAATCTGTGTTTAATTACTCAGAATTAGGAAATTCTGATTTCCATGTTGCTCAGTTTCACTACAGTAACTGCCTGAACAACTGCTCTTTGCTTATCCAATGACTTGAAACTGAAGCACCTGAGGAGGAGGAGGCAGAAAAAAGAAGGAACGAAAAATAACATTGCAATTACTCATTTCACAAGAAAAGATTTTAAAAGCGTATTTTGATACTTTTAAATAAATCACTAAATTTTTTTTCACAGAGGTCTTTCCTATCCTTTATTCATTCATATTTAGAAGTAGACTGCTGTCAGGGCAGAAAGGATGTAATGTATCTTGCATAGTCTTAGATAACCCAATAGAGACGTAAAGAATTCTTCCTCCAGCCCTGACAGTTATAAATTGGTGCGAAGCTTTAGAATCCCAAATTGAAAAGGCTGTACCCTTGCCCATCGACTTAAAATAAGACAAGGAACAAGCTTAAAGAATGCATTTGAAATACAGCAACGCTTGCATTTCAAAGCTACATAATACCTTATAACATTAAAGTTTCACTCTAAAACTAGATCCTATGCTTTAGCTCCAATTTCTCATCTTCATGTCTCCCCTCATTAGATTCAATATACTGCAGTAATGCCATGACAAAATATATCTTTAAATAAAATGGTTTATCAGAAGTTTTTGACCATGGGTAAAATAACAGAATAAGGCAGGGTTTTTGGAACTTTTCTAGAGAGAAGAAATTTTCTAACAGATATTAATTATTGCAAAGTTCAGTGAAACCCGTTTACATTAAAAATGCCTTTTAACCGACAAATACATGTATCAGATCTGGAATTCTCATTGTGATCCTGAGTATTTTAAGTCGTCCTTAATTGGAGTCATGACCATGTTGCCAGAATATACACAATTTAAGATTTTTGCAATCAAATCTCCTTAATGTTTCTGTCACAAATACATCTAAAATTTATTCTGGAGCATGAAATATGGATTTTATATGCAACCAACTTGCTCTTTTAGGAGGAAGTATCTAATATACTTCCTCCTAATATACTGCAGATAAACTTGTTAAAATTTCAGCAATAATATAATGAAAAAGAGATATGGGAATAACAGTTTTAGTTGTACTGGCTCAAATTTAACAAGTGTATAATCAAAACATTGAGGTTATATCTGAAAAAGCCTATCAACACACTCAAATGTTTACTGGGATATTAAAAGAAAATCTTGAACATTAGGTAAATGAGAGAATAAATATACTAATAACAGAGCCTGAACATTTTTATGTACTACAATTAAATTTCATGAAGATAAATCATTCAGGCAATGTCTATCATTGGTAAAACCATGTAGTTAATGATGTAGCTTACTCTCTAGGAGGGCAATAACCTAAGGAAGTTGACTGACTTGTTAATAATTTAGTGTAACAATCTATTAATATGCTCTAAAACGCAAACAGCACTGTCTTTAACTGCTTTAGAAACACTGTTACTGACATGTAGTAACTAGAAAATTTCTTCTTCCTCTGAAATTTCAGTATGTTTTTTCTGAACCACTCATTTAGTATTTGTCATTTGCTGATATTTTGCTAGTTATGTCCTGTGGAAGGTCCCTAGGTGGCGCAAATGGTTTGTACTTGACTGCTAACCTAAAAGTTGGTGGTTCAAACGCACCCACTGATACTGAGGAAGAAAAGGACTGGTGATCTGCTTCTTTTAAGATTACAGTCAAGAAAATACTATGTAGCAGTTCTACTATGTAACACATGTGGTCACCATGAGTCAAATCCACTCAATGGCAACTAACAATGTGTTCTATGGAAGAACATTC